GTATTGTTTTTAAAATGACAGAATGAGATGAGAAGCTTTAAATTTATAACAATTAAAAACCACACAAACTCTAGTGTTTCATACGACACCATCAAGAAATTAAAGACAGGGCCTGGAGAGAGTCCCAGGGGTTAAGGTGCTTGCCTTCTCTGGGCCAACAGAGTTCAATCCCTAGCACCACATAAGGTTGATTGCCCAAGCAGTGATCCCTAAGCACAGAGTCAGGAGTAGTCCCTAACCAGTATAGAGTGTGGCTTAACCCCCATCCAAAAAGAAAGTGAAGACAAATGCTAGAATAGAAATAAGTATGTCTGAGTCACACATCCGATAAGGATCTTTGAAGACTATATAAAGAATTCTCACAACAATAAAAAGGCAAAAAATGCAATTACAAATGGACAAAGGATTTGATGATCAGACACTCCCCCAAAGAAAACAAAATGGTCCATAACCAGATGGAAAGGTGTTTATATTTAAACTCATCAGCCATTTTAAAATGCAATTCAAGACCACAGCAACATGTCAGTTTTAGGAAACCTACTAGGATTGCTATTATTAAAAGTATATAAATGAATGAATGAACAAACAAAAAAACAGTGGGTCCAGTGGCTTAGTGGAGGAGCACTTTCCTGGCATGAGTGAAACCACAGTTCCACCCAGGCACTTCTCCACACGTCTGAGTGTGACACAGGTACTGCTGATGTGATCTCCATAGTCACAAGTTTCATCCCCAGGACATCTCAAACAAGTGTGTGAGCACCACAGTCAACTAAGTGTAACTCCTGACACTGCAACAATGACAACAAAATGGAAGAAAAGAGATAAAGAGAAAAATTTTTAGTATGAAAAAAAATTTTTTTTTGAGCATTGGTGGAGTCATTGGAAAGCTCAAATATTGTTGGGGAAGGCCAGAATAATATATAGCAGATGGGGCCTTGCCTTGCACACGGCCAACCCAGGTTTGATCTCCAGCATCACGTACAGTCCCCAAAACCCTGCTAGGAGTGACCCCTGAGCATAGCCAGGTCTGGCCCAAAACACACAAAACACACAGTGTATGTGTATATTGCTGGGGTGATTATAAAATGGTGTAGCCACTATAAAAGATGTTTTGACATTTCTCAAAAAGTTAAATACAACCAAACATTGTGCACTAATTACTCACTCACAGTATTCTTTATCATAGCTAAAAGTGGAATACTCTAAATGGATACCAGCTGATGAATGGATAATCAAAATGTGGTCTAAACAATGAAATATATTGGACTTCGACAACACTCAAGGCAGGAGCTTTATCCACTTTGCTATTGCTCCGGTCCCAAGCCATGAACTTTACCATTGAATCATATTTCCAGCATAAGAGCTTATTTCTTTTTTTAATGTTTATTTAAAAAATTTTATTGAATCACTGTGAGATAGACCCTTAAAAAGCTGTTTGTGGTTAGATTTCAGTCATACAGTATTTCAACACCCATCTTTCCACCAGTGTAAATTTTCTAGCACCAGTATCCCCAGGTTTCCTCCCATCAGCTCCCACCCCACCATCCCCCAGCCTGCTTATGGCAGGGGCTTTTTTTCTGTCTCTGCCTCTCTCTCTGTCTCTGTCTCAGACTGTGTCTCCCTTTGTCTTTGTCTCTGTTTCTCTCTCTCCTTTTTGGCATATGAGTTTATTTCTTGGTTCTAATAAAACCAAACCAACAAAAGTGACCACTTAGGGGTAAGATCAAGATTTTTCACTTGAACCTTTGTACCTTTAGCTTTTTCATTTCTGTTTTTTGGCCACATCTAGTGGTACTCAGGGCTTACTCCTGGTTCTGCACTCATGGTTCACTCCTGGTAGGATTCAGGGAACCATATAGAACGCTGGAATTGAATCCAGTTTTGGACACATGTAAGGCAAGCACCCTACCCACTGTACAGTACTCTGGTCCTGGCGGTTTTATTTGGGGGAGGGGCGGTAGGGAGCCACATCTGGTGGCTTACTTCTGGCTCTGTGCTCAGGGATCAGTTCTGGGTTGGGGGGGTCATATCGGATGCCAGGAATTCAACCTGAGTTGGTTGCATACAAGGCAAGCACCCTACCTGCTGTACTATCTCTTTAGCTCTGAAGCATTTTCTTAATAAAGCAGTCTTGTGTCATATGTGGCAGAATTCAGAATTCAGCAAGGCAAGAATGAGGAATGCCAACTGAATTTGTCTATTAGATACTGGAAGACCTTCCCAGGGTTTTATGGCAGTGTGTGTGTGTGTGTGTGTGTGTGTGTGTGTGTGTGTGTGTGTGTAAGAGAGAGAGAGAGAGAGAGAGAGAGAGAGAGAGAGAGAGAGTGTGTGTTTTTGTCATAAAATGTTGAGTAGTTTCAACTTATATACCCAGTGTACCTGAAATATTTATAGAGAAGTATTTAAAGGACACACAGTATGAGCTCCTGATATTCTATTATATTCTTGCATCAGACAGGACTATGCCTTTGTCCACTTTGTTCCTTTGGCCCTCTTTTGTCCCCTGAAAAGATATTTAGTGGTTCCATTTTTTAAATCCCCCTATTTATATTTAGAGACACTGAGGACTTAGTGTTGTATGTGTCTTAGAGTTAGGGAAAACTGTCTGCCCCATCATGTGAAGAAAGAGCACTGAAGAAATATTTTCAGGCCTTAGTGACAGAAAATGTCCATTTCCCATGAGTACACTTTATTAATGGTCAACTGTTTAAAAGATACTTCGTTGTTTTTTTGCTATACTCTTAGGAAAATAAGAAGCAAACCTATAGTTCAACCATGTCTCAGTACTAGATACCTATTTGTCCTGGCGCCAACCTAATACTACTATATTTTTCCTTATGGTGCTTGCCTTGCATGCAGCTGACCTGGTTTTGATCTCCTGCACCCCATATGGTACCCTGAGCCCTGGCAGGCGTGCAGAGCCAGGAGTAAGTAAGCCCTGAGCACTGCCAGGTGAGGCCTCCAAAACAAACCAAAAAGAGTTAACAAAAAGCAACTGTCACCACTGGAAAAGAGGCATCTGAGGGGTTGGTATTATCTTATTTTTATTTATTTTTTTGGTGTCAGGGATAGAACCCAGGGCTTCACATACTCAAAGCCTGTGCTCTGTGCCCAGTGTGTGTGGGGGAGGGGCAATTTTTTAATAGAAACTCTTAAAAAATAGGAAATATATACTGTATATTAAGTTTGTGAAGATTGAGCTATACACGAAAGTGGAATTTTCTGTATGTTTAGGAAGGGCCTGGAAGATGGTTCCAAGGGCTCCATGCAAGCTCCAGCACCACATGGTTCCTAAGCATCCCAGGGAGCCAGTGGGTCCTGCACTTAGCACCCAAAACAAAGTTAAATGAAAACACAAAAGTGGAGAATATAAGATGTTTATTTTATTTTGGGGGAGAGGCACACCCAGCTGTGCTCCGGACTTAACCCTGGCTTTGTGCTCAAGGATCACTCTTGGCAGGGCTGTGATCATTTGGGATACTGGAAATCAAGCCTGGGTCAACCATGTGCAAGGGAAGCGCTCTACTCGCTTGTGCTATAGCTGCAGTCCTAGAAATGGTTTCATCGTTTGTTTTTAATTGAAGTAATCGCATCCATCATATGCGTTATACAAGTTTCTGTTGTGTGTCACTGCAAATTAACATGCAAAACACAATTCACTTCTGGTCTGGATTACTCTTGTGTTACTAGTTTGTTCCTTAAAGCTCACTTTTCAGGGGAAGGTACAGTATAACTTTTGAGATAGCACAATAGGAAGGTTTTTGTCTTGTGCGCAACTGAACCTAGTTCAGTCCCCAGACCTCTGCCAGGAGTGACCTGGAAGCAGTGAGCCAGGAGAATCTCTTCAATCTAAGCCCCTGGAACCTGGACGCCCTTGAACTGCGCTCATCCCCACCCCTTCACCATGCACAGGCCCAAGGATGAAGCATCGCAGCCGGCATGAGCCTCTCGCTTCTGCCTTCTCCTCTATGGACTGCCACTCACTGCCCCCCCCCCCCCCCCCCCCCCCCCAGGGCTCAGTCAGAGAGTAAAGTGAGCGAGGCGTGCGGGGCAGGGGTCTTGGGCATATCAAGGACAGAGCAGCTGGAGATCAGGGAAGCGCCAGCTGAGGCCCCGCGCTGCCGGAAGCCGTGAAGCAGACCGGTCACTGGAAGTCAGGGGTGGCTGCAGGTTGGATTCTTCGGCCCCGGAGGACCAGGATCTCGATACTGGACTTGGCGGCCACCGGAGATGGCGTTTTCGCAGAGCTGGGCTCCCGGGGCGGAACGGACTGGTAAAGGAAGAGGAAGCTAGGGAGGGGGGAATTTCTCGAGCTAGCCGCCGAGGCTCCGGGCTCGGCCCACCTAGGTCTTCGGAGCTCCCGGGAGCGAGCACGACTTCCCGGGGCTGGCCGAAAGACAGGCGCACGCGCGCACACACGGGCGTAGCCTCCACCGCGCGCCTGCGCGGGGAGCACGCCGGCCGGCGGCTCAGCCCGGCGGAACGCCCAGAGGCCTCTGGGCGGGCCCCGCCGGCGAGCGGGACGGGGGCGTGGCTTCGTCCCGGGGTGGGCGCGGATTCGATGCAGTAAGTCGAGGGGGCGGGAACTTCAGCTGAGACCCCTTAGCGATTGGCCAGACGCTGGAAGGGAGCGTGGTCTGGGAAGGCGGGGCGGGTGGAGGGTGGCGGGGCTGGGCGCGACGCTGAGGTGGTGGCGGCGGCCTCGAGCGAGTGACCCCTCGGCTCCTGCCACCGCCCTGCCCCGGGTCGGGGCAAGCCCGGGGACTGCCCAGGGCCCCGGCGAGGTGTCGGGGCGAGGAGCCGTTCGGTGAGTGTGGCGCGAGGAAGGCGGACTGCCCCGCCCCTCGCCTTCTTCCCGGCCCGCGCGCCCTCCCCCACCCGCGCCGCGCGCCTCGGCCCGTGCCCGCCAGGTGCTCGCCCGGCCCGCGCAGACGGCGCGCGGAGTTGGGGTGCCCACGCCGTGCCCCGCGCCCCCTCACCTGCGTCTCCGTGTAGGCGGCATGGCAGAGCCCCTGAAGGAGGAGGACGGCGACGACGGCGCCGGGAAGCCCCCGGGGCCGGTGAAGACGGAGCCCGCCGAGCCCGCCGTCTCGGTGGCCGCCAAGAACCTCGCCCTGCTCAAGGCCCGCTCCTTCGACGTCACCTTCGACGTGGGCGACGAGTACGAGATCATCGAGACCATAGGCAACGGGGCGTACGGGGTGGTGTCGTCGGCGCGCCGCCGCCTCACGGGTGAGCTGCCTCGGCTTCCCTCACGAGGCACGCGGGGCTGAGTTCTGCCTCGGCGTCCCTCACCAGGTGCGCGGGCTGAGTCCCGCCTCGGCATCCCTCAGGAGGAGGCGTCCCTCAGGAGGAGGCGTCCCTCACGAGCAGGCGTCCCTCACGAGGAGGCGTCCCTCACGAGCAGGCGTCCCTCAACCAGGCGCGCGCAGGGCTGAGCCCTGCCTCGGCGTCCCTCACGAGGAGGTGACTCTCATGAGAAGCGCGCGGGTCTGAGTCCTGCCTTGGCGCCGCTGCTGACAAGCAGAGTGCCAGGCTCAGTGTCCCACCCTCTTCTCGGAAAGGGTGGGTTTTATTCTTTCTTCTTCTTCTTTTTTTTTTCCTTCCTTGTCTGTCAGCTTCCTCCTTGGCCCAGTGACCACCTCTAGACCCGCATGGATGTAGGTTCTTGTTTTCCAAAAGAGAAGTGTATTGGGATGCCAGAGGCAGGCAACAGGGGCGGGAGGTGTGAGGTGGGGCAAATCTAGGAATAAACACAGGCTTTAATTCCACTAATGTTGCAAAGCCCCACAAGTGAGGAGCCAGGCTTCCCTCTCTTAACTTTGGGTCAGTATCTGCCCTGGGGAGAGATGTGAAGGGAACATGTGCTCGTGTTCAGATGTTCCTGGAGTCTTCTGCAGGGCTTGGCACAGATTATGTACAGAATGGCTCTTACTTGCATCCTAGGAGGTGTGAAAAGGGGCCTGGTGCCATCCTGCTGCTACCCCAGATACATTAGGATGTCAGCCTTTTCCTTATTCCCCAGGCCAGCAGGTGGCCATTAAGAAGATCCCTAATGCTTTTGATGTGGTGACCAATGCAAAGAGGACCCTTCGGGAGCTGAAGATCCTCAAGCATTTCAAGCATGACAACATCATCGCCATCAAGGACATTCTGAGGCCCACTGTTCCCTATGGCGAGTTTAAGTCTGTGTAAGAACCATTGTTGGGAGAGGGAGGCAAAGTTGAGACTTTTTCTGAAGTCTGGGGCCATATTGCTACTGTTCTGGAAGTAACTAAGCTGAACCTAAATGTCAAGCAGACTGGGACAATTGCTATGAATTCAGAATTAGTGCTCTCGCAGGGCTTTGCCAGCCACAATTGGGATTTCTTCAGAAGAGTACAGATGTCTATGGGATAGTAAATGTAGGATTCTCCTACTATAACCATGGCTTCCTTGCCATGTAGCAAACATTGCCAGTTACAAAACAGTTTCCTACAGAAAAGGAGAAGCCTCCACAGCTTTCATCAGAGTCCCTCAAGCTGTCACTACCAAATAATGGTGAGAGTTTTAAACACAAATCTGTTGGCCTATCCTGGTTTAGTATAACCTCCTCATTTCTCTGACGCGAAAAACAGTTCTAGTGAGAAAAATACTTCAGCTTAAATTTATGGAAAAGTTAGAGTCTAGAATCTTTGTATCATGCTGTTGGCCTCTGTAGAGTCAAGGCTACTGCCATTACTTGCCTGGAGCTGGGATGGTACGATGAGGAAGGGGCTGGGGTATTGGGGGTGGGGGGCTCACATCTCTCTCCCCTTCCAGCTACGTGGTCCTGGACCTGATGGAAAGTGACTTGCATCAGATCATTCACTCTTCACAGCCACTCACGCTGGAACATGTGCGTTACTTCCTGTATCAGCTGCTGCGAGGCCTTAAGTACATGCACTCGGCTCAGGTCATTCACCGCGACCTCAAGCCCTCCAACCTGTTGGTGAATGAAAACTGCGAGCTGAAGATCGGTGATTTTGGCATGGCCCGTGGCCTGTGTACCTCCCCTGCTGAGCACCAGTACTTTATGACAGAGTATGTGGCCACACGTTGGTACCGGGCTCCTGAGCTTATGCTTTCACTCCATGAGTACACACAGGCTATTGACTTGTGGTCTGTGGGCTGCATCTTTGGGGAGATGTTGGCCCGGCGCCAGCTCTTCCCAGGCAAAAACTATGTGCACCAACTGCAGCTGATCATGATGGTGCTGGGTACCCCCTCACCAGCGGTTATTCAGGCTGTGGGGGCTGAGAGAGTGCGGGCCTATATCCAGAGCCTGCCACCACGCCAACCTGTGCCCTGGGAGACAGTGTACCCAGGTGCAGACCGCCAGGCCCTGTCACTGCTGGGGCGAATGCTGCGTTTTGAGCCCAGTGCTCGCATCTCAGCAGCCACTGCCCTTCGTCACCCGTTTCTTGCCAAGTACCATGACCCTGATGATGAGCCTGACTGTGCCCCACCCTTTGACTTTGCCTTTGACCGAGAAGCCCTCACCAGGGAGCGCATTAAGGAGGCTATCGTGGCTGAGATCGAGGACTTCCACGCACGGCGTGAGGGCATTCGCCAGCAGATTCGCTTCCAGCCTTCTCTGCAGCCTGTGGCCAGTGAGCCTGGCTGTCCTGATGTGGAGATGCCCAGTCCCTGGACTCCTAGTGGGGACTGTGCCATGGAGTCACCTCCTCCAGCCCCACCACCATGCCCTGGCCCTGCACCTGAAACCATTGATCTGACCTTGCAGCCACCCTTGCCTGCCAGTGAACCTGCTCCCCCAAAGAGGGAGGGCGCCATTTCCGACAACACCAAGGCAGCGCTCAAAGCTGCTCTTCTCAAGTCCTTGCGGAGTCGGCTCAGAGGTTCCTTGTAGAAACCGGAACTGGCTGGGGAGGGGGTGGCAGAGGGGAGCTCCTGGCTGGCACGTGGCTGCAGGCTCTTTATTTTACTGCTGCCAACTTCCCCGCAGATGGTCCCAGTGCCCCGCTGGAAGCTCCCGAACCTCGGAAGCCGGTGACTGCCCAGGAGCGCCAGCGAGAGCGGGAGGAAAAACGGCGACGGCGACAAGAGCGAGCCAAGGAACGGGAGAAACGGCGACAAGAACGGGAACGCAAGGAGCGAGGGGTTGGGGTCTCTGGGGGCCCATCCACTGATCCCTTGGCTGGCCTGGTGCTCAGTGACAATGATCGTAGCCTGCTGGAGCGCTGGACTCGCATGGCCCGGCCCCCGGCTCCGACCCCAGCACCAGCCTCCATACTGGCACCAACCCAGGCCCCAGTACCCACAGCCCACACAACCCAGCCCACCAGCCCTCCCACGGGCCCTCCACCACAACCTGCAGGTTCCACCTCAGCTTCTGCATCTCAGCCTGTCTGTGTGCCTCCTGGCCCTGTCCCCCACCCTGCCAGTTCTGGGCCCCTTCCCGGCCCTGCTGCACTTCAGACTGCCACCTCCTCTAGCCTCCTGGCCCCTCAGTCTCTGGTACCAGCGCCAGGGTTGCCTGGCCCCAGTGCCCCGGGTGTTCTGCCTTACTTCCCATCAGGCCCTCCCCTGCCAGACCCTGGGGGGGCCCCTCAGCCCTCCACTTCAGAGTCACCTGACGTCAACCTGGTGACACAGCAGCTGTCCAAGTCACAGGTGAGAGGCTCATGCTGCGGTGATATACTTGGCCGAGGAAAATGGATTTGGGGAGGTTTGGGTATGTTCTTGTTCATGATAATCTAGCAGCAGGTGGACTGTATCTCTCAGAATTTGTTGCTTTGCTCAGTGAAGGAGATAAGGGCAAACACGGAGGTTGCTGGGAGACGCTAAGATGCTTCCCGGGAAGTGCAGGGCCTGGAGATGGTAGAGATGGGCCTCAGCCAGTACTCAGTGACTGTTGAGTCAGTGAGAGGGATTCCTGTAAATTTCCAGGCAGATTTTCTGTCTGCAGTCCTTGATTGACCTCTTGGTGATGCCACATAGTAATCTGCCATTGTTCCCTACAGGTAGAGGACCCCTTGCCACCTGTGTTCTCGGGCACTCCAAAGGGAAGTGGGGCAGGCTATGGTGTTGGCTTTGACCTGGAGGAATTCCTAAACCAGTCTTTCGATATGGGTGTTGCTGACGGGCCACAGGATGGGTAAGATGGCTGGCCTAGCTTCTGGGAGGGGGTTATGGGAGGGGATATCTCCAAAAGGAGATAGCCAATGGGACAGGCAAGGAGCCAGCCTCAGCTAACAGCACCTCTCCCCATTTTCCATGCAGCCAGGCAGACTCGGCCTCACTCTCTGCTTCCCTGCTTGCCGACTGGCTTGAGGGCCATGGCATGAACCCTGCTGACATTGAGTCCCTGCAGCGTGAAATCCAGATGGACTCCCCGATGCTGCTGGCGGACCTGCCTGACCTCCAGGAGCCCTAGGACCACAAATTTGTGCCTTGCTGCCAAGAGCAGACCCAGCCCCGAGGCCCTTTGGAGTCTTCCAAACCAGCAGGGGACACTTGGCTTGGATTATTTTGCAGGTTCATCTCAGACCGGCTTGACAGCCATAAACAGCCACCTGAGCCACCACCGAGCCATGGCAGATGGGGAATCTCCTCCTCCCTGAGAGAGCTTTTCAGTATTGTATTTTTATTATTGTTATTATATTATTTTATTATTATACAACCTTTTCATTGTCTAAATGAGGCCTTTGAAGTACAAGATTCCTTCAATGCCTGTGGCAGCAAAGAGAACCCACATTTTGGGGGCCAAACAACCACATTCACATGCACAAAAGTCAAAGCCACTTTATTTAGGTGCTGAGGTTTATTGAGACCTCTCATCCCCCCTTACTCTCAGCCCTACAGAGGTTGCCCTCTGCCTTTCCATGGTCAAACTTCAACCCCAGGGGGCGGGGGCAGGGGATGAGGAGGTGGGTGGACCTCAGCTCTATGCCTACCTTAGTTGTGGCTGCTTGGAGCTGGTATGCAATAGCTGTTGTAAAATAGTCTCTGCATTGAGCTTTGGGGGTCTGGAACAGATAGGTGAAGGAAGCTGAGTACAATAGATGGGATTGGGGAAGTCCATGGTGCTCACTCCTGGGTGGTAAGTGGGTGGGAAGGAAACCAAGAAGGGAAGATATTCCATGGCTGGAGGGAACGCAGGGATGAGATATGGCATGTATTATGGGTATTGGTCAGACTGAATGAGCTAAGTTGACCAGGGCAGCCTCAGAACAGTTCACGGCATGGATGCTGGGCTAAGGTGGAGTCCCTTGGGCTAGCTCTTAGCCTCCGGGCCGGGACACCGGTGACTCCTAGCATTGGGGAGCCCAAGCTGGGGCAGCCAGGCAGCTGCTGGCCACATTGTCTCAGGTGGAGGGACCAGAGGCCTGGCTTGGCTCTGGCTGTGGGATGGGATCATGTGGAGCCATGAGGGATGCTTTGAGAAGTAGGTGCTGAGAGCTGCAGATTGGACAGATTGGGGACTATGTGGGGCCAGGAAAAGGCAGGGGCGGGATGCGGAGGGAGCACTCATAGAAACTGGAGTAGCCAGGGGAGGGTCTGGGGTGACTGATGCCAGCGCCTTAGGACCGGCGAATTTTCATCTCAGTGCGCTTGAGGGAGTAGTAGAAACCTTTCCATTGGGCCCAGTTGATGCCATTGGCATAGGAAAGGTGGGCACCGCCTAGGTAGAAGCCATTGAGATTGGCAAAGTGGCAGCTGCGGAACCAGAAGGCTCCTGAGGAGAGAGCCGCGCAGTTCTGCACAAAGAGGTCCTGGTCTCGGTCGAAGGTGGAGAATTTCTGGCCGCTGTGGTAGGACAGGGAGTCACCTGGTGGAGGGCAGGCATGGGGACGGCTCAGCGGGACACTGAGAGCTGTCATTGTGACAGCCCCACTGCACCGGGTCAGTTGCTGGGTAGTTGCCCTCTGCAGCCAGAAATCCAGAGGCTGCTCTACACAGGGCTGCTTTTCCCAGGACTGAGCCCAGGCTGGCTCTCATCCGGCGGCAACCCTTCCAGGCCCCGGTGGGGAAAGGAGGGGCCTGAGAGGTTTGGAGCAACTGGGCAGTGCCAGCTTTGCCTCTTCCCTTTCCCCCTGCACCCGTTCCCTTTACTCAGCCTAGGTTACCTGCGCCACCGTCTTCGAAACCTGCCACATAGAGGGTGTAGCCATCCTCCTCAGCACTTATCGCGTTGGGTGAAATGGAGAAGTCCACATACTTGGCGTAGGCTGTGTTGTTCTCAAAGTCCTCCAAGTCCACACGCAGCTCGTACTTCTGCTTCAGGGTCAGGAGATGCAGATTCTGCAGGCCTGCGGAGGATAGGCAGCAGTTTAGCATGGCACTGGCTTGGGGCAGCCCCCCAGTCTGCTTGGCCCCTACCTTACCTAGCCAGTACTCCCCGTCAGCACGGCCGAAACCCAGCTTGTAGTCGTTCCACCCCCTGAAGAAACTCACTGAGCCGTTGAATCTCTTCTGGAAAATCTGGAGCAGAGAGGATGGGCCTGAACCTATAAGGGTCTGGGGGGTAGGGGCCACCCCAGACCTGGACCCTGTGTGCTGAGGCACATTGTTAAAGGACTGAACTGTGGGTAAGAAAAGGCACATGCTGGCTCTGGGGGCCCTTCAGTGAGCAGCTGCTGAATGCTAGGAAGAGGCTAAGAGGTTGTGGGGGATGTGATCTTGGAAAGAGGCTTAACTGCTCTGGGGCTTGAGTTCAGTTACACAAGGTACCTTCCAGAATCACTGAGAATTATTTGTGCTAACCAGTCTGAAGCCCTCAGAATTACCTGCACCTCACAGATGATGTTTCCTGTTTACCCCGTCCTAGAGATGAGGAAATGGGCTTACAGAGGTGAGCCTGGTCATACAGCTGGAACTAGATCTGGACACTTCCCTTTGCATCCCTACTCACCGTCCACTTTCCGCCCTCGGTGGTCATATCACAGAAGACAGGTACAGGCACGCTGGGGCCGGAGGGGTAGATCAAGTAGACACCGTCTGCCTGGTAGCCCTGGGCATAGATGTCATCACAATCCAGGGGTTGCTGAAGGCAAGACTTCTCCAGAGCTGGGGGACAGGGTGGAGAGGGTGAGACCAGGGCCACTGAGGCTTCACACACAGACCTCAACACTCCGCAGTTGGCCTCAGTCCCCGGGAGGGAGATTCTTAGAAGAAACAGCATCCTCTACCTGCCCTGTTCTGCAGGGCTGGAACTCTGAGGGAGAGGGACTTAAGAAATGATGACTCAGAACAACCTCTTGTCTAGCCAGACTAGTAGTGATCCTGTGGGGTCCTTACCATCTCCCCGGATTCCAGCAGCCTGAGGGGCACAGGGAGGCGTGGAGAGAAGCAGGAACAGTGGCAGGGCCAGGAGGGCCTAGGGGTGACGGAAGACAGAGTCATCCCACACTGTAATCCTCCCGAATCCCAGAGACCCCCAACCCCCACCTCTCACCACAACACAGACAGCCCCCCACCCCTGCCAGAAACCCTTTGCCTAGCATTTGACCTTTCTCCCCAGTTCTCCCATTCTTGGTGTCAGGCCCAACCCGCTCCAGACTTCAAGAGTTCCTGCTGGGTCACAAGCCTGTGCCTTTAGAGCCACTTCTCCGATGAGGGGCCTCGCCACAGTGGGCTCAGTCCCCCAGTCCTGTGAGCCTCCCGCCCCAGGCCTGCTACCTTCATGCTGTCGGTTCAGCTCCAAGCGCTGGGTGTCTGCTGCCACAGACTGCGCCCCAGACTGCAGCGGCCCAGAGTTATGTGCTGGGGCCCTGCCAGCCCCCCAGCCCCGCCCCCTTAGCTGCAGGAGCCCCCCCTTCACACCCCCTCCTGCCTGAAGCGGACAGCTGAGCATCAGCTTACAACATTACAAGGGGAGAATGGCTGGCGGTGTGGGTGAGGGCCAGGGGCCACCTGTGTCTCATTAGGCCTCCCAGGGCAAGGGCTGCAGACATTAACTCCCTGCTGGCTCAGCCTATTCCCCAAGCCCCTCAGACACCACCCCCTGGACCTCTGGTCTATCTGGCACTCCAATCCTGCCATTTCCTGATGCCCCCTCCCCCGCAGCTGTCTGTTTATTTTCTCCCTCTCCTTCCCGGGCCTGTGTTCCATCAGCCATTGGAGAGGGGCTGAATGGGTGGGGGTATGTCAGTTCTGGGAAGCGGAGGCCCCTTTTGGGGGAACAGAAGATGGGGTAGGGGGGCTAGAAAGGGGGAAAAGCTTCAGAGCTCCTGGTGTCTGCTGGGCTGTGGAGTATAGGAGCAGTGAGGGCCAGACTGTCTGCTGGCAGGCCTAGGACATTTCTGAGCCATGAGCGCAGCCTGCAGGCGTCCAACTGCTGTCTGCCCCAGCGCAAGCCAGGGCCCCTCTCCAAACCCCCTGGCCCGGGCCCCCTCAGGCCCCCTCCTTCCCTTTCCAAGGACTTCCTGGCCCATCTTTCTGGTCTACATACACGAGCATAGGGCCTCCTTTGTTTTCTACGCCTCATCTCTTTCTTTTAGACCTCTCATTTTGGTGCCCATTCTCCTCAGACTCCTACTTCAGCGCCCCCTAGGCCAGTGTCCCCTTAATAGGCCACTCCTTTGTTCACCCATTGAACTGAGTTCCTGACCTGTCTGCTTCCCCTGACTCTCTTCGAGCCCCATCTGCTTCCTTCTTCCCTCAAGCCCCCGAGAGCTGCACCTGGGAGTTCATCACTGTGCTGTCTCCATGCAGCATCCGGCTTGGGGTGACCCCGTCCAGCCTCATCTTTTTAGATGGTCACTCTGACCACTACCATCTGTTTCCAGACTCTGGTGGCTTCCTGTTGCCTCAGGCAGGGCCTCTGTTTCTCACTTGGACTGGAAAGGAGTTAACTCTGGCTCCTGACTATCTTTATTGCTCCTAACCAGAAAGTACAATCCAGCCACACCAGCCCTCTCTGGAAATCCCCTGACCTTGACCTGTTCTCACCATGGTGCTCACCTGCCAACTTCTTTTTTTTTTTTTTATCTATATGTAATTTATTTTTAAATAAAAATTTTAATCACATTGGATTGCCCACTATCATCATCTTACTCTTTTTTTTTTTATTAGTGAAACACCATGAGGTACAGTTGTAGATTTACAAATTTTTGTGCTTGGGTTTCGTTTATACAATGATCAAATACCCATCCCTCCACCAGTGCCCATTTTCCGCCACCATGGATAATATCCCTCCCCCCCATCCCCCCCATCCGACCCTGCCACTGTGGCAGGGCATTCCCCCCTGTTCTCTCTCTCCTTTTGGGTGTCGTGGTCAGCAAAAGAGGCATTGAGTGGCAAACATGTTCAGTCCATAGTCTACTTTCAGCCTGCATCTCCTCTCCTGGGAGTATCCTCCAAACACCCTTTATTTGGTGCTCCCTTCTCTATCTGAACTGCACTTTCCCCTAGAATACCTGGCTGGCCTCTAAGCTATGGAGTAATCCTCCTGGTGTTGAGCTCAGCTATTCTTGGGTATTAATCTCATATTTTGTTATTTTATATCCCCCAGATGAATGCAATCTTTCTATGTCTATCCCTCTCTTTCTGACTCATTTCGCTTAGCATGATACTTTACCACTTGTATGTAAATTTCATGACTTCATCTTTTCTAAGAGCTACATAGTACTCCATTGTGTAGATGTACCAAAGTTTCTTTAACCAGTCATCTGTTCTTGGGCACTCAGGTTTCTTCCAGTTTCTGGCTATTGTAAAGAGTGCTGCAATGAACAAACAAGTGCAGATGTCACTTCGACTATACATTTTTGCCTCTTTGGGATATATTCCCAGGAGTAGTATTGCTGGGTCAAATGGGAGCTCAATTTCTAATTTTTTGAGAAACGTCCATATTGTTTTCCAAAAGTGCTGAACCAGTCGACATTCCCACCAGCAGTGGAGGAGTGTCCCTTTCTCGCCACATCTGTGCCAGCATCGGTTGCTTTTGTTCTTTTGAATGTGGGCCAGTCTCTGAGGTGTGAGATGGTATCTCATTGTGGTTTTGATCTGCATCTCCCTGATAATTAATGATGTAGAGCATTTTCTCATGTGCTTTTTTGCCATTCGGATTTCTTCTTTGAGAAAGTTTCTGTTCATTTCATTGCCCCATTTTTTGATGGGGTTGGACGTTTTCTTCTTGTGGAGTTCAACCAGTACTTTGTATATCCTTGATATCAACCCCTTGTCAGATGTGTATTCGGCGAATATTCTTTCCCATTCTGTAGACTGTCTTTGTATTTTGGTCACTGTTTCTTTGGAGGTGCAGAAGCTTCTTAATTTAAGATAGTCCCATTTATCTATCTCTGTTTTCACTTGCTCGGCCAGTGTCGTGGCGTCTTTGAAAATACCATTAGCCTCAATGTCATGGATCACCTGCCAACTTCTTGTTGACCCTGTGGGCTCACAGCCAGGGTCTGTGCTTCCTATTCCAGTGTATTCAGCTCCCACCACAGAGCATAGCACTCTCAGAACAGGTAGCTTTTGAGCACCTATTTGTGCCAGCTTCTGACGATATATCCCAGTTCCACTGTTCTGAAAGATCAGAAGGAGCACAGAATATTAGATGAGAAAGTTGTGAAGAAAGGCCATTAAGCTCAATGCTCAATGAGTGAAACAGTAGCACAGGGGGCGCAGCTAGCACCTAACAGCTCAGTATATCCTCAGACAATGACTTCAGTAATATTATTATGAGATATATATTGTAAAGTAAATACATGATAATAATAAAGTAAATTATTTTGTGCCTTCTAAGGAGACAGGCTGGGGAAGTGTGCATGGGTAATTTGGGACATTGGTGAGTTATTATGAGATATATATTGTAAAGTAAATATATGATAATAATAATAAAGTAAATTATTTTGTGCCTTCTAAGGAGACAGGCTGGGGAAGTGTGCATGGGTAATTTGGGACATTGGTGAGTTATTATGAGATATATATTGTAAAGTAAATATATGATAATAATAATAAAGTAAATTATTTTGTGCCTTCTAAGGAGACAGGCTGGGGAAGTGTGCATGGGTAATTTGGGACATTGGTGAGGGGATGGTCACACTGGTGGTGGGATTGGTACTGGAATATTTAATATCCTAAATGACTATATTATGAACAACTTTGTAAGTCATGGTTTTTAAATAAGGTTTTTTTTTTTTTTTTTGGTGTGTGTAGGGTACACTTGGGTTACTCCTGGCTCTGCACTCAGGAATCACTCCAGGGACCATATGGGATGCTGGTAATAAACCTGGGTTGGCCATGTGTAAGGCAAGCACCCTCCTCACTGTACTATTGCTCTGTCCCCCAAAAGTTTCAAACATTAAAAAAAAAAGAGTTGTAGCTCTTCCTAATTTGTTGTGTCCTGAAGATTCTGGAACCAGGCTGCATATGTCCAAACTTAGCCAATACAACTTGCTAGCTGGGGGATTGTGGACAAGTGCCTTACCCTCTTTGTACTTCAGTTTCCTCCTCTATAGAGTAAGAACCGTAGCAGAGTCTATATCAGAAGGTATAATAAGGATTAAGTAACCATATAACAAGTACCCATTATTGCTCATAATTAGTTGCTCATAATTATCCAAGTATTTAGTCTATATTAGTTGTCACCTTTATAAGCATAATGACTTGTCTGCCTCTCAGCATCTATTTTTTTGGGGGGGGACTACACCCAACAGTGGTCAGGGATTACTCCTAGCTCTACACTCAAGAGTCACTTCTGGCTTGGCTCAGGGACATATGAGGTCCTAGGAATTGAACCTGCTCAGCTGAGTGCAAGGCAAACCCTATCCTCTATATTATCTCTCTAGCCCCTGAATATCTATTTTTCCCTTAGTCTTCAAGTAGGTAGAGCCTAATTTTTAACTGGGCTTGTTTTCCAGACTAACTGGGTGAGCCACATGTCTGGATTTTGGCCAACAAGATACAAGATACAACTATGAAAAAAGTAGGTAACTACTTCCTCTTTGCTTCCTGCCTATGTACTGTATACACTGACTAGTTCTCCAATGATCTATGGATAGGATGAAGTTGCATCAGGGAATGGGACTGGGTAATGAGGGAGAGACTGGGTCCCTAATGATTCTGTGGAGTGGGTCCAAGGCCAGCTTTGGACTATGGATCTCTAGTCCCCTTTATTGTGGAAGAGAAAAAAACTATCTAATTTAAGCCTCTTGGTTTTTTGCCTTCTATTACACACAGCTGAATCTAATCCTAATACATCTTTCAGCAAATGCCAGCTAATTTTAGCAAAGGCTGCAAAAAGGAAAATAATGAAAAATCAGTCGTCAAAACAAATAATAAAATGTGCCCCAAGTCAAGTGTCAAAGACTTTTGGAATACAATAAACAAACATTGGAATGAGAGAATTTAGCAATGAGGTATTAGTCATATTTTACCTATCCACTTTTTAAAACAACAATGTGTATGGGTGCTGAAAAAGCAGATACTTTGTTCACTGAATGTGATTGGAAATTTGTTTGACTCATTAGGGAAGACATTCAGCAATTAGTCCAAGATTCAGCATCTCTGATGATACCCTCTGTGGAAATGCTCCATCATAACCAAACAGTTGCAAATATGTATTTGTGGGCCTACTTGTTGGCTTTCCAGCATGGGAAATCTCCCTGTGTTTGAGGTTTCCCTCCTCATGTGAATTCATTTTCCCAGGCTTCCTTGTACTTTGGTTGAAAACATGCCCTTGATTTAGTTGATCAAATATGCGGCTCTGGACT